GAGGGATTAAAGCGGGACATAATGTATATTTGAGGGACTAATAAAGACATTTGGCCTTTTTTGGTGACTCATTCTGCAGGAAATATTTTTAGATACAAATAGATGAAATGCGTAAATAACGATAATTAATGAAATTCAAGAATTTATTTAACCTCGATATTTTAAAATCAATCTTAGTCACTCACAACCATTTGATCTTATGTGTAGACATATTTCTTATATATTGGTTATCGGTATTTAGTTTTAGGGTAAATTACAACCACCCCTGAGGTATGGTCAAATTACAAAAAACTCATCTTGTTTGGATAATTACATCTACCCCCAACTATGAATCTTCTTACACCTCCACCCTTATGGTGTGAAATTCAACATAATCATCTAGATTCCGTAGAATGTGCTCTAGTTTGTACTCGTTTTGTGTAAATTTACAGTTTCTGATGCACCACAATCTGATATATACAAGCCAAAAAACACATCTTATGATCATCTTGCTTCAAAATGTGGAGCTCGAATGGGATAAAACGGGTACAAAAGTAATAATATTCCATATAATCAAGAAGATTCCACTAAATTTGAAACCACAAGGGTGGACGTGTAAAAAAATTATAATTGAGGGGGCTGTTGTAATTAACCAAACAGGAGGGGGTTTTTGTAATTTCATGGATACCTTAGGGGGTTGTTGTAATTTACCCTTAGTTTTAATTTATTTTTTTTATTTTTAAATAATTATTAATTAACTTGATAACGTTCACTTACATGTTTATGATATGTCACCGAAAAACTCTATTATGAGTTTTATATGAAATACATTTTATTTAAGAATTCAAGAAAATAAACTTCGACTTTCAAAATAAATTATAGTATATAAAAATATTATCATACTTTTAATATAACATAATATAAATATTACTACTAGTATTAGTAAATAATAATTAGTTTGAGTTTACATTATTACATTTTTATATTTGTTGAATTTACTTGATAAAGATTATATGAAAACTAATTTATATTTTGAAATTAATTTAGGTATCTAATGCTTAACTTAAAATAAAAAGGATAGCTTTGAAAATATTTTTTTACATATATATAATATAATATATCATTGGAAAGCTCTTCAAATGTAGTTTTATACAAATTAAATTATATAGAATGTTTAGAAAAAATTACAATAAGAAGAAAACAAAATATCACCTTAGTATTAATATAGCACATGAAAAGACATTTGATATTTAAACTACATTATGAAACTATGTTAATTTACTATTTTCATTTTTTTTATTACACAATTGACCCTAACTAATTGATGGTATAACTTTATTATAAGGGGCATAATAGGAAGCACAAAAATGTTAAGAAACAAAAAACATTCATGCTTTTAAAGTTGGTAGAGATAGAGAGTAGAGATTTTCCATCAAAATTTTGTAGCATTTCGTGTAGTTCTACACGAAATGGCAAAAACAAATTCATTCATTTCGTGTAGAATTACAAGAGAAGCAACAAAGCATTTTTTGTCATCTTACACGAAATCCCTAAGAAAAAATCAATTTTTTTTCCTTATTCAAATACGATTATCTTTTATGCAATAAAAGAATTTCACGATTAAAGTCACTTCTTTCAACATGATGTCGTCTTTGATAATAAAGAGGCATTACTTATGTGGATACAAGACACTGCAATGAGTCGTCGTCATCAATCGTCATCGTTTTATTATTCAATCAAGAAGGGAGAATATTCAATATTTAACGTGTGAAAGGTATCAATATAGATGACAAAAGAAACATTCTTGTCCATTCAAGTTGATTGCCAGGAAGTCAAAAAATGATAGATGATAGTGACTAAGTGTTAGTGATGACAATCATAACCATCTCCCACTCATTAGGTAAATTATTAAATATTTTATTTTGTATTTTAATATTATTATATTTCGTGTTTTAAGTTCACTCACAATTATAATAAATCGTATTTTCGTTCTTTTTAATGTTTAACTTGAAATGTTGTGTTTTGTAATTTAAATTTAATTTTTTTTTGTGTTTTAATTTCAGTTACAATTGTAAGAAATTGTATTTTCGTACTTTTTCGTAACAAATGTTAAAATTTACTATATTTCATATATGATTGCTATGATGGATATTAAAATCATATGGTCTACAATTCAAATTGTTACATAAAATGTAGACTTTAAAAAAAAAACCTACAATTTATGATTTGATTGATACAAATTAGGATTCGATTTGCTAAGAAAATATATATATTGAGAACAAAACTAAACTATTCTAAAAGCACTAGTTACATTGCACCAAAAGGCGAAATCCCTCGCCCCTAGGGCCCCCATCCCTTGGCCCGACAAGGATTGATGGAGGAATGTAAATCATGGTAACTCAACGGCCCGTTAAGGTAGCGGACCCGGACCTGGTGCCCACAAGGAACCAACTCATTGGAGTTGAAAAGCACTAGTTACATAAGATGATTTCTCGTAGTACCGTAATACGATTATATTTTATCATCACTATATTTCAATCTTTTATTTAATTTACTCGGATATATATGTTGATTATCATCAATTGATCCCCCACTTGAGTTATTATTAGATCTTGACTTTTTATAAAATGATTATTATATGGAATAATATTAATATTTACATTGATGAATATTACAAATTAAATGATGATAAATCATACCCCTTTAATTAATAGTAAACTTTTTGCTTTTATTGTGTTAAAAGATTTGGTCCATTTACTATTACATTTTAATTTTATATATCTTTTGTAGTTTGATAGTAACTTTTTTTATGCAATATATATTTTTTGTTATGAATACTATGCAATGTCTTATAAATATGTATATATCGTTCATATATTAAAGTTTGGCGTATAGTTTACGAAATATAGTTTTATTGTAAGTTATATTTGTGTATGAATTTCAGTTTACTTTGCATTAGAATTTCAGTTTAAATTTGTTGTTGTTCTTATATTTATTTGAGTATTAAAAATAAAATAACTTAGAAAAGGAGAAAAAAAAGAAAAAGAAGAAGAAATCAAATTCAGTGAATTTGTAGTTTCACAAGGAGAAAAAAAACATAAAATGCATGGTTTCATGCTTCGTAGCCTAAACTAAAAAAAATAGGAAAAAAAAACAACAATAATTCGTGCTTCTTTGCATGAAACGCTTCCATCCATTTCGTGTTAGGGAACACGAAATGCTCATGCACAAACCATAGTTCGAAAAGAGTTTGAGGGAATTGTTAGTTTTTATCGTCAAGAGTTGCAAATGAAAATCGCATTGCAGACAGTGAAACCCGCACTATCACTATGAATACCATTTCAGTTTTATTTTCTCAATCACTTAGAAACTACGTGTCGGGCTACAATATTCAACTATCTCAAATTATAAAAAGAAATATATCTAATTAATTATTAATAACTATGTATTTTCCACTTTCACACTTGCGTCCATATTCACAAACATTACATTTGAGCTTCGTCTATTCGCTACTTTAAATCTCCTCACATAAAGATAATTCGTAACTTCAAACAATATAATCATCGATAAATATATTAAATAATATATTATTTCGAGTCTTATCCGCTTAACTTATTTGAGTATGTCAAATACAAAATCTACATGACCAAGAATTGACATAAACAATAAAACAAATATCAAAAACTATTGAGTGGTTATTTCAACATCATATTCCGTAAATGAGATTATTTCCGATAAATACTTTCCACCAAATAAATAATGCATCCATCGAACGAATTGGGGTTCACTTGAGTCAGTGTATGAATATCTCCCGTTGTGAAATATCAAAGCAGAGTAATATAATTAAATGGAATCATTACATATCTAGAGATTAGTAGACATAATATAGTTTCAAATTGAATATTGATAAAATAATTATTTCACTTTGTCTAGTGTTGTTTCTTTCCTTTTTTTTTCTTCTTTTTTTCTTTTTTTTGTGGAGAGGAAATAATTTGTATTCATAATCAACTTCAGAGCCGTAAGAGCAAGCTTATGAGATTACAAGTTCTCTTATTGATAAATGAAGATTTGTTAAGGAACATGGACTCTTGAATGAAAGTCGAGCCACTTCATGTGCCGTTTGATTACCGTTTCTTCGGTATATGTCGAGGAGAAAAGGATTGAAACGAGCCTGCAACTTTGTCTAGTTCAACACATGCCAAATGTGCTTGCATAATAAGGCAAAACAATAATTACAAAAGTTATTCTTTGCTTACTACAATCTAACCAAATCACTTAAATATTGTGTTATATTTTTTTTTCGATGGTTAGTTTAATTCCCTACTGATTACTGAATGAGCGCTTAAAAGCTCCCTAGGTCAATATCCCCAGGTTCTAATCAAGGATTTGAGTTATTTAACCACTTGTTTTGGCCCCCGCAAACAGTAAATATCTTGATATATTAGTGTGGTTGAAGTCAAAAAATTCATTTTCAATTATGTCAATAACTGCAAAGGATATTCTCACTAAGTCCCGTCGTCACTGTTTCCTTCGAATCATCTTTATTATGGCCGCCAATCCATTGGATCCAATAAGAAGCAATCTCGGTCCCCGCAATTTTGAAAATCTCCCCTTTTGGCAAATTGGACAAGAACCGACTACCAGCGCAAAGATGACCATATACGGGCGTGACAAAACATTTGCTACGATAAATGGCCGTACCAAATACTTTTTTGCTACGATAAATCCTAGCATTTACTACGACTTCAAAACTATTCCGTAGTAAAAAATTCCTTTTATTACGGTTTTTCACCGTAGCAAACAAATTCGTAGTAATAAGCAAATTTTCTACTAGTGTATCCTACCCCCAACCCCATGCCTAATTTCAGAATCTACAATAGTGCATTGGCCATCAACTACGGATCAAATCTATGTTATATCCGATAAAGTGTACGTCATGAACATTTATCTACAAATCTAAGGGTTTAGTAGGCTAAACCCTTAGTTTATGTACTAAAGAAGACATATAAAAAGGAAGGGGGTAAAATAATATGGGACTTCATTTTACACAATTTAAGGCAGTCTGGGATTCATCTCATCTCAAATTTTACATAATAATTTATTGCGTAAATTATTATGATTCCCACGGTCCACAATGACCATTTTGAAGTACAATTCTTGATACAAGCATACGAAGAGCATGTGTAGCTAAATTGAGCAGTACAGAAATAAAGTGAAACGGCACTCCAGCAAGTTGAATAATAAGGCAACGTTTGATATGGACAGAGAGTTGAAGAAGCATAAATATGTCGATGAAAATATATATACATCATGCTAGTGAGTATACCATTTTCTCAGAGAGCTCTGTGCCCACAGCTCTAACATATCTTTGTATCTGGCTTTCTACAAACTTCCTCTGACTCTGATCAAATGCATGTCGTAGGTCCTTTAAAAAAAATCGGAAAACGGTCGGTTACATAATAGCACAACGAGGGCATAAAATCTTCTTCAAGATGTTTGCTCTGATTATTAAATGTCAATTTCTGGGAACAATCAAAACAAGATCTGGCTTCTATTATAATTTTAATTTCAGATTTTTCTACAGCATAATAATTATAAAATGATAATCAAATTGAGGAACTGCATAATACCTTGAACCTCCGATGAACATTTGCTCTCACTCCAATCAAAACATTACTGACATCGGCACCATTAGTTTCTGAGTCTGATTCGTCTGATTCGTCGTCAGAAAAATCGGAGTCAAATTCAGCTATCTCATCCTCATTCACCAGAACATCATTTGTGGCCTCATTCTCTTGATCTTCCATATGATTATCAAGAACATTCAGTAGCAATGACTCCCCCTTTTGTGAAGTGGCATAATCAGATAAAATCACATATTTTTTTCTGTCTAAAAACGGCTTTGAAATATCGTATGGAACCCACCTGATAAAATGTTATGGTTCGAGTCAAAAACAATAACTAAACAACAGAGACATTGAGGAGGGGACTAGTCAATGGACAATTTCGCAACAAATACTATAGACAAAATTTAAAATCAGAGAAAATTCATTAGATGATTCTGGTGCGTGTGTAACTTCTTTATGATCCTTCCGGGACGAATTACAAGTATCTGAATAAGTAATGCTCAGTGGAACCACTAGAAAGATAATCATAGGTACTAAGGGAGGTTACACATTCGTATCTTGAATGTCAATATAAGTTAAGCTCATGAGAATTCATCATAAGAAATCCATAAATGCATAAGCAAAGAAAAGAATATATATTCTATAAATATATCTTAAGCTCTTAAAATAAATAAAATTGGTAACACTTACTGGTAGCGAAAAGGGCAGAGGAGCTCTGATGGCCGATAAGCAGCTTTATACCTCATCTTGCTGCACGAGTGAATGTAATAGCCAAGATAATAGTACTGAAGGCTTGGGCAACGTAATTGACTCTCGTTAACCCACTTAATTTCTTGTAAAGCCGAAAACTTGCCGAGTGATAAAAAGGCAAAATCAGGGTCCCAAAATAGATATTTACTAGACAAACACTTTGGCAGTATATCGACAACACCAACTGCAATTAATTTCCCGTCCACCAAATACTGCTGATGGAAAGAGCCAAACCCACAAGGAGGAACTGCAGCATTATTATCATTCGGCGGAATATATGTTAAAGGAGTGTCGACCAAGAACCTCTTGTACGAGCTTTCAGTGACGTCATCGGGTACGTCGTTATGCACTGTAAGTTGATATTTCTTGTATAGAGAGTATTCTTCGTAATCAAAGCTCGATTGTTTCAGCCGTATCTCGAATTTATGTCTTTGGCTCTCACGGGCCCCACAACTTCTCTTCAAAGGCCTCTCATTACTGATGTTTGTTGTGGGGGCAGGTTTGGAAATTACGCTTCTTCGAGGGTCAATTAAATCTGATTGCTTCGTAAAAGAATAGAAATTTATGTGTCCATAGCAAGCTCTGACCGACAAACCACACGCTTCTGCTGTCTGCTTTGAGTGGCTTGCCAAAATTTCAGCAATCGTTGTAGGAGAAAGCTCACTCGATTCCGTGTGAAAATCTTTCTTGAATCGTCTTAGAGTAGCTGAAATTTGGAAGGCGATATTGCATGAGAAAATGAGTTCTTCTGAATTGTCTGCTTGCAAGTTTCGTTTAGCTGGTACAACTCTTTTGATGGAAGCCTTCGGCAACTGTATGTCTGAAGGGAATTCCCCACTTTTCACGCATACTTGTACTGAATTATTAATCTGCTCTGAAAAGAAATGCATAAACTGGTCGGTTTCGTCCTTGCCTCCACCATCAACTACCGGAGATTCTGTTGCAATATTGCACGATTCCCCATTGTTTGTTTTCTTCACATCTAATGTACCGTCTAGAAACCTGCAGAAGATTAATCCGCACTTAGTACATTACTCACTGGTTGTAGAATAACAAAAGTAAAATATAAAAAAAAAAAAAAAAAAACAATTTAGTTCGTATCGTAATCACGGATATACCTATGCATCAAATATACATATTGACATGCATGGATATACCTAGGATCAATTACAAAAGTCTAAAATGTCCGCCACAGGCACCTAGAACACTTTCATGTGCAATTTATCTGAAGCAGAATCGGTGATAATGTTGCAATCCAAGAGAATACGAATGGCTATGAAGTATACCTTTGCATTCTTTTAGATACTCGAACTTGTTCTTTAGAAGGAACAAATTCACTAGTTTTGAGACGAATAGTATATGATGGGCAGCATGTTTTCTCCATGTCAGGTTTGTACAAGTAACATCCAGATCTTCTCCAACCTCTGTCAATGAGAGCTACATCGAAGAAAACTGTGAGAAACTCATCCTACCCAACTCATAACGTATCACGAAAAACAAATAGAGATGGAGCAGTGCAGTACAATAGGAGAGAGAAATAAAACAATAAAACGAAACACTTGTATTAAACATCTGTAGAAAGTGCATTAACAGATTACATAAACAAAATTAGCGAAAAAAGATGTTATAACAAAAAATGAAGCTCTCACTGTGATTTATAGAGACGAAGCTAGAGTACTAACCTTGATAGTCATCCACCGTCAAACTCTGCGGCCATAGACCTAAAATAGCGAAACAAAAATATGGAAATTCAGGAACATATACTTAATGTATAATATCAAGAAGAGTAATAGAAGCACATTGCAGGAATGAGTAAGCTCGATTCTACTAGTAATACATAAGGGAGTTAGTTCAATAAAATTAAAAGTTTAGAAATATAAAGATAAGCTTCAATACACAAATGCCGATGTACTAATGTTTAGAAATATATATATATCCTGAACAGCATAAGTCACTTACGACGATGCTGGCATGTCATTAATGTTTTGAATTGAACATCAGTCTTTCATAATTAACAATGTGGGAGAAAAAAGAGATAGCCAGCAAAACTATACCGAAACTACAACTCACATATTTACTCTCTTATCATAATTGAATATAGAGCATACAATCAGATCAATTTATCAATTCTTTCACCATTTTCAAGAAGCAATATGATGCTGCTCGTCCTAACTTGTTATAATTTATCATGACATTGTGTTCAAAAACAAAAAGTTCGGTTACCTCGTCTAGAGATGTTTCCACACCACTTGGGTTGTTTAGCAATTCAGCTGAAATAAACAATGAAATTCTCTACTAGAAGTGCCTCAATTCTCTAAAACGATCTTGAAAGCAAATTATATCTGGTGGATTTTTCAATAAAATGGGTTCCATCTGAACGTCTAATTCAATTTAATCATGGCTATGACCACTCGAAATCGAGATCAGTTATTCAAGTTAGCTTATTTTCTTAAATACAGCTTCCTAAGTTGCAGGTTGACTTCTGTACTTATCAAAAATGCACCTAGAAAATTAAATATTTTCAGAATTATATTCATTTTTAGATGATCCAGCTCAATTTTTTTCTTTTCTTTTTTTGAATTTGGATAAATAAGATCAACCAACCATTGCCATGGTGAAAAAAACTTGATTCACATAATCTACTTGTGTTCAAATCTCTCTACTCCATAACCAAATAAAAAGACAGGAAGCTCAACATTCATCGTAACAGCTATAAGGCGAAAGAGAAGACTAACCATGAGAAATACTGGTCCGAGCACCAGATTTACAGTAACCGCAGGTGCTTTTCTGGCGGCCGCAATCCGTCACTACGCTTTCTCCTCTCCCACCAATTCCGCCGCCGCCGCCGCCGCTGGTACTAGCTTCTTCGCCTCTCTTCTTCTTGGCCTCCGCCATAACCGATCTTTACGGATTCGATTAAGTCAATGCTGCAAAAATTGACGAACACAGGTTTAAGCTGTCTATCAATTTGTCTACTGATCGCAATTTTGTGAAGTAGATGGATTCGAATTGTTTGACAATTCACGGTTCTATCGATTCGATTCTTCTTCGTTTTGCTCTGTATGTTTAATTTTCTTTTGGGCCCTATTACATTTCTGAAATTATCGATTAAATATAAATATTTAATCCAAAGCTTATTTATCCATAACTTCTATAAATTAATATTGTTGACACTTGGCAGTTGGCACCAATAAAATTCTATTAATTTAGCAGAATATTACGCTATTAGAAATTAGTGATTATTAATTAAATATTTATTAATAAGTTATTAGTACTTATGAAATTGTTATTGTTGTCGTTGCCGTCGATATCGAACTCATAAAAATGATGAGGTTGATGATGATAGTGTACTGCATAGCCCATTTGTCTGATGAGAGCTGTTAAAATCAACAATGATGTTTTATAATTTGTGTTGTTGAGTTATGATAAAACAAAATCAGAGGTTCTAGGGAAACTTTAATGGAGTAACAAACTTCATTGTATTGCAAAATATATAAATTATGGAAAATAAATTTAACACCAACAAAAGTTTAGAGGGATTCTAAATTTTTTAGATTTTTGCAAAATCTCCTAACTTGTTTTTAAATATTGGACTTTGTTTGGAGACTCGTATTTAATGGGAGTCATATCACATGTACTTCGGACAAGACTCAATTTCTTACATTTAAATTTCGAATAAGTTAATAATATTATTGTTAATTTCTCTATTATCACTTTCACATATTTGAAATCAAATATCCACATCTTCATACAATTGACGAGCAATCGAATGATAGAAAATCAAAACAATTTTTTTTTGTTATAGTTTTTGAAGAAAATAATACAATTAAAGCGCAACTATAATAATATTAAAAATTCAAATTTCTATCTCGATACCTTTTCCAGATATGTTCGACGAATGAGATCAATTGAAATCTCATCTAATGGAGAAGTGGGATAACAAGATAGAAAATATATATAAAAGTTCAACGGACGAGATCAAGTGAAATTAAATCCAACCGTTAAAGTACATAATATTTCATCTCTTCAATTTTTTTTTATTGTTTTGTTTGTAATGTGTATTAAAAAAAATTAAGATTATACGAATAAAACTAAATTATTGAACGTCTTTTATTTAATAAAATTTGATTGTGTAATCAAATCACGATATATAGTAATTTGTAACATAATATAAAGATTCAAATTTTATAGAGCCCTTATTGTTGAATCAATTTTTTTTTTCCTTTACAAACTCTACAATTCTCCAAGTTTCTATATGGGTCTCTAAAATAGATTTTAGAGACCTAGTTTGCTTACCCCATTAGAATTGCCATTGCAGCAACTCCAATGGGATTGTCAAACATGGTATTCAAACCTTTAACCACCATTAACACACTAAAAATAGATTTTTTTTAACTCCAACTGGTTATCAAATGAGTGTTCTATTTTGATAATTCACCTATTGGGATGTAAATATACTCGCTGGAAATTGAGTTATAAAAAATGTAACTATCTAAACATACAATCACAAGTTCATACGTGGCAATTACGAATAAAATTACACATAAACTTCCAATTAATAATTAATTTGATAACCACGGTTGGAATAGAAGAATTTTAACTAATATTAAAATATTATCTAAAAAATGAGGCATAACAAACATTTAATTACACATTGGAATTGCTCTTACAATATAAACAAAAATGAGGCATAACGATGTCAACTAATTCAAAAAGAAATAAAAGCGAATTAAAACATATTTTGCTGTGTCTTTATAGATTTATCGTCATAAATATATTATGCGTTATTTGAAGAGTTATTTATATGCACAATTAATTTATATGTTAGATGGGCCTTATTAGAGTTTTCAAATATGTATTTTTTTATAAATTTAAGAAATTATTAATTTAACACGTTGTCCCCGAGCTAGGAAAAAAAGATATATTATTTAAACACAATTATGTGTGTATTATTATTTGTGTAGATTAATGTTGTAAAACTATACAGTGGTACACCAGATATAGGTTCTACAACACCGTAAAATGTCCACGGGCAAAAGTGTCACACAAAAGTTCTTTAAATAGTCATGTACTTTTCAAATTTTCATTACAACCGATTTTGTATTTTTTAATTTTATTTTACTTTACGATATTTAAAATTGATGTCTTCTTATAATTATAACTTTTAATACTTTATTCTTGAAAATTTGATGTGCTCTCACGTTTTCTTTTTTTCCTCTCTCTCTTTCTCTCTCCCTCTCTCTCTCTCTTTTTTTTTTTCTCTCGATACCATATGCGCTCACGATGATTTATCATTATTTCATCGTCACGTTGTTTTTACACATGCATTTGGTCACTACTAGTATAATTCCTAAATTGGAGACGACCTCATATTGAATTAGTTGACTTACTAAACACCATAATTGATGTTATTTTGGATTATTGGAGAAAAATGAGGGGAATATAGTGGATAAGTGACATATGCTATTATCATCTTCCTGTCCAAGTGCTCAATTAGTCACTAGTGACTAAATATTTGTAATTTGTTTGCAGGGCGGAATCAGGATAAAAATGTAAGGGAGCTAACTAAAATTTTGGGGTTCGGGGTAGTGTCCCGAAAAATGATTTAGGTTCACAAAACATTGCAAAAAATAAGTTTATATTACTTATTTTTAATTAAAATTTCATATATATTATAATTATATCATATTTTAATCATTACAAAAAATTCTAAATTAATTCAAATTATTCTAATAATGTATTGCACTTAATATTTAAGGGATTCATGGCACGATCTCAAGGCATTGATAAAAAAAATTCAAAAATAAGTAATATTCATAAATTTTATTTAAAATAATACAAGTTTTAAGCATCTTATTTTATATTTTATATTAAATATGATATATTTATCTATAATTTATATAAGATTATGGAGAAGAAACAAAAAAATAATGGATTAAAACACAAATTTATAAAAACTTTGGGGGGCCAAAAGTAATATTCAAAAAATACAATACAAAATACCTATATTTTTTTCTTTCTTGAGGGGGAAATATTGGGAATCCCCCCCCCCTCCCTCCTCGGGGGGAATGGGAGCTCCCCCCGGGGATTTTTCCGGGGGGGGTTTTTTTTGAACAGGGCGCCCTTTTTATTTTTTTAAAAAATAATTTTTAAAAACCCCTGGGGCCCTAAAGGAACCCCGTGGGGGAATTTTTTTAATTGGGGGGCCCGGGTTTTTTCCCCCGGGGTGGGATAGAATTCCCCCCCCCCCCCCCCCCCCCCCAGCCCCTTGCAAGTACCGCCCCTATTTGTTTGGTGTTTGGTATCCTCAATAACTAGGGGTGGAATAGGAATGAAATCTTCAAAATTTGATACTTCCGATTCGAAAATATCTGAATTTGAAATCGTATTTTTCATTTTCGATTTCTGATTTTTCCGAATTTATTTTGGAAAGGAATCGAAATGGTATAGAAAAATACTGAAAAATCAGATTTTTGATCCGATTTTAGTTCCGAATATTTTGATTTGTTTTTTGATTATATAATATAATTTTACAATATATTTTGTAATTCCATAATACAACTTACAGTATATTTTATATGAAAAATATAAATAACGAAGTGTCAAGTGAATTAAAACCTTATAAAGATTAATTGGTATCAGAAACTCTCTCTTTCATTTTTTCTTATCAGAAAATCTTTGTTTCAATTTATTGTTCCTACATGTGGTTTTATTTATTACGCTTTTCTCCATCTTTTGAATTTTCTTGCATTTTCATGCAAAATTTCGAAAAAAAATAGAAAAATGTTGTGATAAATTCGCATTATGTCAAAATTAGGAATAAGAGATTATAAAATAATGTAAGTTCCAAATTCTGCCAATTCCAAGGCATCCCGAAATCGGAACGAATTTTCGCATTCCGATTTTCACTCCTACCAATAACTTGTCGAATTGATATGCAAATATTATGTTATCATATTTATTAGGGGTGAACGTAAACCCGCCGACCCACCCGCCCGACCCGTTCGCTCCGCCAGTTTTGCATATTAAAATTTTGCTGGCAGTTGGAAATTTTGGTGATTCGCATGGTATGGGTCAACTTTCGGGTTTGACAAATAAAACCCGTGGCCCGCCCGACATCACATAAATTATCGTATATTTATATTAAATAACATGTAAATATAGGTTTTAGTGTTCAGCTGCCCCTTCTTCCCCCGTTTCTAATCCATTTCATAATACACTAGGAATAAAACACTGAGAAACGCCAAAGCTCTTTCATTCCCAATCACTCAAAAATCGTGATCGAGACCAAAAAATGGGATAACCAAATATATCCAAAAATAAATTCTTGAATCTTTCAAGTTTAATTGGAGAAAGGATACGCTTTTGAATTGAGTTTTTGTAATGTAGAATTTGTTCCACCAAAACGGATCGAAACACACACACACACACACATATATATATATATATATATATATATATATATATATATATATATATATATATATATATATATATATATATATATATATATACACACACAATGGGGTAGAAGCATGCGAGAATTCATCCGAGAAAATTCTTATTGATATAAGTGAATATTTATTTCCTATGTTAAACATTGTAAGGAATGAATGCTCCTTCTCCTTTTCTTTTTCGAAGAATTGTAGCCTCTGGAATGTTTTTATGAGATTATATTTTCTTAAAATTTGTCAATGCTTTTATTTGTATTGCGTATTTTTTTCAACCCGCCCGCCACCCGCCCTACACCCAAAACCGTGCGATTGGTGGCTTTAAATAAGCAGATGCAGTTGGTGAAATTGGTAATCCGTAGGGGTCGGATCGGGTTGTTTTTTTACGAAAACCCGCCCAAATCCGTCCGCGTTCAACCCTAATATTTATCTTGTCTTTTAAACATGTTTTATATTAAACATTCCAAGATCTAATAATACAATTGGTTTCATAAATTATTTATCTTATTTTAGCTAATTTTATCTTTACAGCCAAACCGGACCTTAAGCATCCTCTTTGATGAAAAAAATGTATTATTATGTGTGTAGAATACCTCTTTGAAGGAAAGAGTCGACATCTTTGTTGGAATATTA